TGTTTCTTACGCTTGAACGTCGTATGGTAATTCTATAAATGTTCTTTACTTCAAAGATCTCAGAGCCCTTTGTCATACAACTAGTACTCAGTAATCAGACTACAAAATATGTGCTCGAAACACCAAATCCAGCTTTTTGATTGGTTGAAATCTAAGTCTGAGTACGTTAATCGTATTCTAAATTTTAATGACCCTAATGTCTGTTGACTTGTTCCATTGACGTTCTTCACATATTATATGTTTCCAATGTACTGTAAAGATGTTGGTGTACTATATGCTTCATTTGATACAAGTCAACATTTAAGCAGATAGCATTTAACTGCTAATTAATTGCATATTAAGTAAAAATACCGACAATGTTTTCACTAATCCGAGGTTTATTAGACTAGGGTGTCAGTTTGGAATTTTTTATCTTATTATTTCAAAATGACCATCCCGATAATAATAATTGAACAAATAAACAAATATTTAAATGAAGATTTATTGGTTGTTTCCCATGATACTTTATACTAGTGAAGCTGTCAAATAGCATTCTTACTTTCCTATACTTGTTAAAATAATGTTCAATTAATACAATTATGTCAAAGTGACAGTAAACAACTTGATAGACCTCTATGCAGTCTTTTGACGTCAATATCTATATTGTCTCTAAGGACGGTTGATAACTTGACACACTGCATAAACACACGTCAAATTATAAAGATCGTATGTTAACCTTTATCATGTCTTTTACTTTTATTTTTTAATTTTTTTAAATTTTTCTTGTTTTATTTCTCTTTCCTCTTATTGGCGTATATATACCCCACCGCCACATATTAATTCATATGAAACGTAATTGTTAATGTTAATGATGTTATTTATAGTCAATCTTTTTACATTTATTTTTGAAGAGGATCGTAGTACAATGCTGTTACAAAAAACGGAGGGAATAAAAACAATAGAATATAATGTCTTCTGTCTAGTACTTTGTATTTTTATGTCTTACCTTGTTTGTCAAGATTTCAGGTTTAATGGTCGCAGCACTGTTGAGTTTCGTTTCCTTATATGCTTTTTTTTTATTTAAATTTTATTTCATTTTTGATAAGGTTGGTTATGAACAGAATATATTTAACACATCTGGGTGTTTCTTCTGATGATGCTGGTATTTTAAGTAAGCTAACGCATCATACAAATCTAGTCCCATATTCACTAAAGATACGATGCAACATGTCGTATCGCAATTACTGATGGTATCTATACGACATGCATTACACATGTCGTAATTTGTATTATTATACTTCACATTAAAATGCAATATTTTGATTGGCTAATACGAGGGTGTTAATTTACTCTATTACCCTTCATGGAGACGCTTGATCAAGTGTGCGCTTTATTAAATACGGATGGTTGTTATGTACAAGACGTCATAGTTTATTACTTTGAATTTGAAATTTAATTGACAGTAATAACAGAACATTCAGTATAATAAATTAAATAGATAAAGACAACAGTAGTATACCGCTGTTCGAAATTCATAAATCGACTGTGAAAAAAACAAATCCGGGTTACAAACTAAAACTGAGGGAAACACATCAAATATAAGAGAACTACGACACAACAGAAACACAACATTAAAATGTAACACACACAGAAACAAACTATAATATAACAATGGCCATTTTCCTGAATTGGTACAGGACATTTTAAAATAAAAATGGTGGGTTGAACCTGGTTTTGTGGCTAGCCAAACCTCCCGCTTTTATGGCAATGTTAAATATAACATTAAAATGACAACATTACATGACAGGACTACAATACAAATAAATGGGAGAACACATAGGACAGAGAAACATACGAAAAATAGCTACCAAAAGGTATCAGTTGACAATGTTTTCTCGGGGTAACAATCTGCTCTATCACCCTCTCAGCTATGTGTTATTTATATATTATGCAACGTTATCATAGCATTGTTGCAATTTCTCGTAGTTGGGAATGTCGTAAATCCGCAGAATAATTATTCCAAGTAACAGAGGACTATTTTGTTCTGCAACTGTCTGACTTAATCGCAAAATGAAATTCTAATTCAAATTCTCGCAATATTGAATGCCATATCAAATGCATTCAGAATGATGATAATTTTTTTTTTTTGACCCACACTAACATTTCCAGTTTTTTTAGGTATAAATTCCGTTATCTATGAAAGTCTTTGTCAAATTATAAAAGGGAACATATGCGTTAATTTAAGCATTACATATGAAATATAATTCAAAGTTTAACGCTGAAACATGATAATTGTTTAAATTCGGTAACATGAATTTGTGACATTTTGCTTTTTTACATCTATGTCTCAAAAACGTGGAAATTATTTTAAAGCGCTCGTCTTTCGTAGTTTTTTTCACTGTTACATTGTATATCATATCTTCTTAAATACATTTATTGAATAACAAGCATTTATTGCCAAAATACTAAATTATTTCCAAATCGATTTTTGTTTGTATCTTCCATTATGTTCAACGATTTAATATTACACCATTCATGTGATATTTGTCGCTGGGGCATTTATGTGCAGACACTAGTTAAATTACATTAATCAATGAATAGGCACTATCTTGTATCTTATAAATTTATGAGAGGTTATTTGGTATGTGTTCTCTTGAATAAATATTCAGGTTTAATAAGGACATGTATATTATATTTTACTGATAAATGGAGTTAATATTACAGTTAAAGTTTTTTGAGACATAAATAACTTTGTCAAACCTTCACTGAATTTTATGAAACTTTATTATGATAGAAATACAGTATCCGCGTCAACATTTTGAAAATATATCGGTCCAAAACATATTTGATAAGTCCAAGGCCATCATGGAAGAAGAGACAATAACGTTAGTCCTAACCTTAGTGTTTATGCTTCGTTGTTTATCATGCATCTTTTCTTTGAAGGTCATACTTAATTATTATTAATTCAATTATCATGATTAAGATACCAGTAACATTACGCCCCCATCTCATTTCAGAATCCCTAAAGTGTAAATCAATGATTATTATATGTGAAAGATAAGCATAATGTTAACAAGTTTAACTCATAAATATATAATTCCACTGAAAATGTCAATTCTTCCAAAGAGGATAAATGTCATGTTATCGAAAATAAAGCCGAATAATTTCTTCTATTGAACTTGAAATACAATATTAATAGAATAGCTTTGTGTTAGCATTGACTTTACAAAAATAGTAGCAAGGTGAAAAACGTAGTGTACGACCCGAAGGGAAGTTTATTACGTCATACACTAAGGTTCCTATTTCGCATGGTCAATGATAAAACACAACATTATTGCTAGTATTGTAATGACTGTCAATTTTTAACCAGACCAGAATAAAAATAATTTCAAATTGTCCAATTTGAACACGAAACGTCTTCGGGATTTGAGTGCATTTCAAAAATTGCAATGAAGAAATTTAGTCGCATGTCAAAATAAGCTAGTGTTTTTATTTTTATTTCTGACTGATTGAGTTATTCCTTCATTATGCAGACAACATTGTGCTAGGCTCCGCGTACTCACGTGAACATATTTTTAAATATGAATAACAGCTATACTGACTGTTACGCTAAGCTATACGAACTCACATGAAATACTTTTTACTAACAGCTATAATCGATTTATGACTTTTGAACAGCGGTATACTACTGTTGCCTTTAACTATATACATCCACTTCCTTTGAACTTTGGTGGATAGTTGTGTTATTGGCAATCATACCACATCCTTATTTTTATATATAATGACTATCAGACAACAGTACACTTTTCCCGAAATATCTAAGTGTATTAAATTTTAACTCTATATCAAAGAAAGAGTTTTAACTACATTCTTACAAATACTGTAATAATCGACATATTAGTGCTACTCATTTACAGAAACAGTGCTTTACACAAATCAATGAATAAATGGTCAACACGAATTTGTCTTTTACATGCAGTAGCTGATAAATGAAATAAAACAAAAGAGCACACTTGTAAACAAACGACTGATGAACATGAGAGGTATAAACGATGTAAATTGAATGGAGTTTGGAAGACATTCATATTGCGACTGGATATTGTGTTCAAAGTTAATTTTAATTTTTGTTGACGACGGAAAGTAAAAATTTTAAAAAAGAGGAAAATATTGTAATGTTAGAAAATTTTCTGAACACAAACATTTATTAAATTTTTTAACTTAATTGAAATATTTAGTATAAAAAATAAGGAGATGAGGTATGATTGCCAATGAGACAACTATCTGCCAGAGTTCAAATGACGTGGATATAAGCATTTATAGGTCATTGTACTGCCTTCAACAATGAGAAATGCCCTTATCTTGTAATCAGTTATAAAAGTCTTCGATGAAAAAAATAACGGGAAACAATTCAAACGAGAGTATTACATTTTAAATTCGTCAATTGTAATTAATGCACATGTATAAAAGAATATGGTTGTGCGTTCTGAAAACATACCATAGGTTTTTTCGCATTTCTCTAGGAATAGCTGCACTTTTCCACAGTTTTTGGCTGCTTTTCATTGTGCTCTTCCCTGGCTTTGGCTTTACTTTTTGTCCTGTTTCGTTTATAAGCTCTTCATTTTTTTTCCAAAGTTTTGGATTTTCAAATATTTTGGCCTGGAAGAGACATTTATTGCCGAAATGAGCAGCTGGTGCAGAAAAATTGGTACCGTTAATGTTATTGTAATTTTGACAAATGTAGATTAAATGGTGATTTTGGACAGATCCTTAGTTTGTAATTTAATATGTATCTGCGATCTCAATGACAGAATCGTGCAATTCAAAATTGGAATGTGTAGTTATAAACTATTATAAAAAGTACAGAACAGTAATTCGTTTTACATTTATATTATTATATATAGGTCAGAATTCCAATTTCTACTAGTAGACATTTGAATTCCAATTTGTACTAGGGGAAATTGGATCCTACTGAATTTCAATTTGTACTGTAACATATGCATAATGAAATTATTTATTTCCAGATACCTGAAACATGTCAAAAGTACTGACTTCCGTTTTGGTAGTTTTTGGTTTCACTGTAGTCTTAAGTCTACCTGCCAAACGGTCACCATTTACAATGGGTCTAGGTGACCTTGAACACACTCGACAATTACCAGGCAGAGTACGAGAATTTGACATGAATGGTGATGGAGCATTAGACATGAAAGAATTAGAATTTTATTTCAAATCCACATTTGATGACGTGGACCACATATCACAAAATGTAAGAGAAGTCTTCTATGTTCTTGACACCAATGGCGATCGGTTAATTGATGGTCAAGGTAGGTAGTCTTTTAATCTTTAAGTATGTAATACCATTTTCACTTTTCAAATATTTTATAGAATTCTATTATTCTCCCAGTATAAGTCAAAAATATTAACAACATCACATGTACATCCAAATTGAAAAGGTAAGGTATTACATAAATATTGATGGTCGAGTAAACCGTCAATGTCGTGTCGCAACCATATAAACAACATCGGAACGTTTACAACGGTTAATTAAATTGTATATAGCAGACCACATACATAGGCCTATTAAGATGTTTTAACGAAACTGGCAGCATTCTGAACAAACTTTTCATTCGGATACATAAATAATGTCATCTCACTTCACATCTCAATGACTGATTCCAAGTTTGTGAACTACATGTATATGTTTTCTGTGAAGTGTTTTGGGATCTGTTGTTTGGTTTTCTGTGAAGTGTTTTGGGATCTGTTGTTTGGTTTTCTTTTTTTTTACCATGTTGTTTTCTGCTTTTCCTCGACTTGCGGTTCCTGATTGCCCCCATGGTATCGTATGACGTCATCATGTCTTTGTTGACCGTTGCAAAAACAATGTGTTAATATCGCATGATATAATTGATGGTAAAAATGTATAGCAGAATTCTACGAATCATTTTCTTACGTTTTTTATAATATCTATAATTTTATAAAAAGAGTTATTACAATCATATCTTTTTCTTTGCTATACGATGAATTTCTTATGTGATTTTTTCACCTTTTTCAGAAATTGAACCATTACACAACCTGTAACAGGATAGAAAATTGCAGGATAGAACCTGAAGGATGCTCGTGGCATACATTTGACATTTTCATTTTTTTCAATCATTTTTCATTAAAATTCATTTTTTAACTGTGTGTTTATAAATTTGTTATAAAAGGGAAGAATATACTAAGAGGGCAAACCAAAATATCAGTCAAAGAAAGCCAGATAAAACCATGACCAAAACAAGAAATGATTTTAACAGGATGCTGTTACAAAGTCTTACAAACAAAGTCCCATATAGATTTTCGAATTTTCATATTTTTTTAGTGTAAATGAGTTAGTCTAGCATATTATGGAATCCTAAGTAAATCTGACTAGAGGTTTTGGAGAACTGCTGCGGACAATTTCAAATACGAAGCAGCAGAAGAAGAAAAAGTAAAAGATTTGGGAAGAATAATAATATGAAGAAGAAGAACTGAGCAAAACCAATCGGTCTCCAAACTTTGTTTGGGAGATTTAATAAAATATGAAACAAAAACAGCAGTTTAAAGACACTTACCATAAAATAAAGATTAAACAAAACAAACCCACCAAATACTGATGGTAACCTCGAGTGCTATGGAAAAAAGTAAAATAGTAAAAATACCGAACTCAAAGGAAAATTCATAAGCCCTTTGGCAAAATCAAAAGTTCAAACACATTAAACGAACGGCGAACAACTGTCATATTCCTGACTTGGAACAGGCATTTCCATATGTAGAAAATGGTGGATTAAAACTGGTTTTATAGCTAGCTACACCTCTCACTTGTATGAAAGAGGGACGAAAGATACCAGAGGGACAGTCACACTCATAGATCGAAAACAAACTGACAACGCCATGGCCAAAAATAAAAAGACAAACAGATAAATAATAGTACAGATGACACAACATAGAAAACTAAAGACTAAGCAACACGAACCCTACCAGTCTTATAGAATTCCATTATATTGACAGCAATGTGTGAGCAAATCAAACAGACATAATAGGTAAAATTGTCAAAAATTAGGCTACAGCAGTCAACATTGTGTTATAATCTTAATCACTCTAAACACAAATAACTATTTCAACAATGAAAAACAAAATGGCACATAGACACTCTATAGACAAAGTTTATCAGCAAAAATGAGAGACAAGAATACGAAAAATTACCATAGCACAATAACGCAATGGCGTGATGTATAAATACCGAGCCACGCCAAAAGTATATTACCAAAAATGGACTAAACAGTAAAGTTTTAAAATATACAAAGACAAATAAAAAGAACAGTATAACACGTATTTAAGATGATAAACAACGTCAGTACCTAAAATCTATACTACGGGACCATCATGTATTATTTGTGAAGTTGATACGGAATATTCATCAACTTGGTATCTTCCGATGATCTTTTTTAGAAAAAGGACGAGACGTTCTTTGACATAACCCTGGTTCATCAACTTTCTGCTCAGACACTGGTGACGTTTTATAAATTCTGAGTAGCAGCTGCAAGCTCTTGAATACCGAATGAATTTCGGAAATGTATATCCCATATGCAGGTGAAGTTGGTATACTGCTGCTAAGGTGGGGGAAATTTTTAATTTCAAAATTAAAATCGTCTCGTTTGTCATACATTCTGGTACTGAGATGACCGCTTATGTCAAGTTCCAGGTATAAGTCTAATAATGAGGAGGAGGAGGAGGAAGCCGTGTCTGTTGTTTCCTTAATTTCTAGTTCTGGAGGATATATTAATGTAACCCAATCAGAAAAGTTTGGATTGTTAATGGAAAGAACATCATCAATATGTCTCAATGTGAAACTAAATGATCTGACTTCTTTGATCTTCTTGTTTTTGACAAGTTTCTGAAGGAACTCTGATTCGTATGAAAATAAGAAGAGGTCGGCATTAGTCGGTGTTTTTATTCTGTAGTTAGTCCCCACTTTGGTTTTATCATGTATATCTATTATATAGTCATTTTATAATATTTACTGTTTGCCAAATTATGAATTATTCTAAATAATAAGGATGTTCTTGTCCCAGGCAGAAAATCCTGGCCGTGTTAGGCGCAACTTTTTGGAAGTTTTGGTCCTCGGTGCTCTTCAGCTTTGTACTTGTTATGGCTTTCAAACTTTTTTATCTGAGCGTCACTGGTTGGTCTTGTGTTTTTAAGCCTAGTACCTTTTGCTAGCTATTATTCGTGTGTTTCTTTGTCCTATATGTTCTCCCATTTATATGTATTGTGGTCCTGTCATGTGATGTTGTCGTTTTGGTGTTGTGTTTGACGTTGCCATAAAAGCGGGAGGTTTGGCATGCCACAAAACCAGGTTCGACCCACCATTTTTTTCTTAAAATGTCCTGTACCAAGTCAGGAAAATGGCCATTGTAATATTATAGTTCGTTTATGTGTGTGTTACATTTTAATGTTGTGTTTTTGTTGTGTCGTTGTTCTCCTCTTATATTTGATGCGTTTCCCTCAGTTTTAGTTTGTAACCCGGATTTGTTTTTATCTCTATCGATTTATGAGTTTCGAACAGCGGTATACTACTGTTGCCTTTATTAAAGCTAAATCCGTAGATAAGTCGCACTTGGATATAAAGGAGGAAATGAAGACTGTAAAATATTATTGATACGACAAGTGTATTTATATATATATATCCCTGACAATCTGTGGCAAATATTCCCTAATAATCAATCAATCCGAAAAAGTTTCGTAAAGGTGACCTGAATTTTATCATTAAGAACCCTCGGTTCGAAAGCTTCCCTGTAAGCAGTAACCCTTTATCACGAAAATCATAACAAGAAACACCTGACTTGGAATTTCATTTAAACTGGGAGAAATATATTCCGCCAAATTCTTTTTGTGCTTTTTACAAGCCAGGAACCAGTAATACAGCGGTTGTCGTTGTAAGTCATTACTGTTATTTTGTTCATTGTTATAGTCATACATCAGGTCGTATCAAGGCCGTACGGTGAACTGTAAATGTTAACATTCTGGTCATTTAGGTTTTGGGTGGATAGTTGTATCGTTGACAGTCAAATGCTGATTTGTGTATTCCTATGCATGCAATGCTGTAATACTGCTACATATACATGGAAAAAATTAACGCTTGTATCGTGTAGTTAAATTTTCAACCGAGCATCACTGTCAATTTCTTGATGAAAGTCATCATATTAAACAGATTTAAATGTGTCCCATGGTATCCTTTGTTTACAGTTCAACCGGATGTAGGCTGTCAACAAAGTTACAGTCACTGAATTCATACTAAGAACATGTATAGCTTAATTAATAAAATCGGTTATGATTAATTATTTAAACTAAAGTGTATTGGGCGAAAAGGGTTGGTCAAGTTAATTGATTAATCATTTGATCAATTAACGCCTATATTCCCATAATAACCCATAATATTCTCTGTATGTTTAGAACATCGGATAGCAAACGTAAGTACATTTATATTTATTATACTTTGCTTGGATTGCTCTCCCAATTTTGTCAATATAACGGAAAAATAAACTACTGTGGTACAAGTAGGAGGTTTAGCTAGCTATACAACTACGGAAAATACATGTACCTAGTCTGGAGAAGGCATTTATTTTTCATTCGTTCCGTTGGTTGAAATAATCTAACATTTGATTTTGTCAGGTTTTTTGGAGTTCCCCTTTTTTTAATTATCCTTGTAGTTCAATATTATTAATGCTTTCTCTTTCTTAGATCAAGGATTTAAACGAATTTAAGAACTTGAATAACTATAAAAATATTTTTTGAGAAAACAATTTTGAACAGGTATTCCAAGTACACGAAGAAATTAAGACAGTATACATTTCTCTAAAACATAATTTATTGTCTTCAAAATCAGGTAAGTTAATACTCTCAAAACCTACTCACAAACATTTAACTTAGCAAGCTAAAGTATAGCAGGTATGTAAAAAGAAAAAAATGAATTTACACTTAGCAATCCACAAAACTCTGAAGAAAAAGATTAAGAAACTTGCACCCAACAAAAGCGGTGTAAATTTGTGCTTACTAAAAATGTTAACTGTTTCTGTTCCACTTGTGACACTCAACGTGATCTTCTTGTTAACATTTGATGAATAGACAACGTGATCTTCGTGTTAACATTCGATGAATAGACAACGTGATCTTCGTGTTAACATTCGATGAATAGACAACGTGATCTTCGTGTTAACATTCGATGAATAGACAACGTGATCTTCGTGTTAACATTCGATGAAAAGACAAGATCACCAAAAAGTTTACTTTAGTCTGGGAGAACATGATTTATTTATTAGTTGCAATTGGCTTTGAACAACCTCAAGTAACTGCGAGTACTCTTTTTTCGGTGCTTAGTGACTATTGGTTTTGTGTTAGTTGTTTTGTGCCTCGTACCGATCTTTTGAGTAAAGCCATTTGCAACTGATTTTTACAGTTTGTTTTTATGTTGTGCTGTTACACCACTGTCCCAAGTTAGGGGAGGGTTGAGGTCCACAAATATGATTAACCCCGCTACATGTGCCTTTTCCAAGTCAGTAGCCTGTAGTCCAGTGGTTGTCGTTGGTTCATGTCCTTCATATGTGTTTTTCATAAATTATTTTGTTATAAATCTCATTTCACAAAAAATTTTACGAGAAAAAATACTCGTAAGTCAAGAACATTTCAGTATAACTTACGATCAACTTTTTTCGTAAGACTTTTTGTGAAACGAGCTCCTCGTCGTTAGTTTTCTCGTTTGAATTGTCTCACATTTTTCATGTCTGGGCCTTTTATAGCCGAATATATATGAATTTTTCACATTGCTGAAGGCCGCACGGTTGCCTATATTTGCTTACATTTATTTCATTTGAACTCTGGTGAATATTTGTCTCAGTGGCAATCACACCACATTTCCTCTTTTTTTATATGGTATATTGTCATTAACGAATTCCTTAATCATTAGTACATATAAATAAAGGCAACAGTAGTATACCGCTGTTCAATAGTCATAAATCGAGTAAGAGAAAACAAATCCGGGTAACAAACTAAAACCGAGGAAAACACATAAACTATAAGAAGAAACCAACGGAACAACAGAAACACTGAACTACAACAAAAGCAAACGCCAAAATACGTAGAAACGGACTGTAGATAACAACT